GGGGCGTGTGTGTGCGTGCCCAAGATCCTGAGAGGAGAATGGAGGAGAAGGGATTGCGGCGTGACCATCCCCCCTGGGGGGTGATTTCTCGCTTTCTGCCTCTCTGTCTCTCTCTGTCTGTCTGGCGAGCGCACGCGCCCTATAGTGAAAACCTCTCAAAAAAAAAAAAAATTGTGGCCAGGGAACCAGCAGGTAGCGTGCTGGTGGACACTCCCACAGGGCTGACCATGATTCTAGTCCCAGACCTGGTGGCTTGCTTTCTCACTTTCTGTGTGTGTGTGTGCCTGTGTGTGTCTCTCTCTCTGGTCAAATTAAAAAAAAAAAATGAATGAATGAATAAATATAATTAAATAAATAATTATTCAAAAAAACACACAAAAAACTGACCAAATATACACAACATAGAAGCTGCCATTTCAAGCACTTCAAGTGTACGGTTCAGTGGCATCAAGTCCCTCGTACTGTTGTCCCAACTGTTACTGTGGCCCATTCTCCAGAACCATCTCATCTCCCCACACTCACCTTTGCACCCACCCAGTGATGCCCGCACGCCACAGGCCTGGCCACTGCCATCTCTCTGTGCCCCTGTGAATTGGTCACTCCAGATGCCTCACCTGAGGGGCTTCCTAGAACCCTGTGTGTCCTTTCATGTCGGTCCCTGTTGCTTGGCATCACATCCTAGGACTCACCCTCAAGGACTCACATGTCCTCATTTCCTTTCTTCCGAGGGTGAATGACCTTCGCTCTGTGCAGAGACCACAGCCTGCCCTCCCACCTGCTGACGGGCACTCGGGCCTCTGCTGTTCAGCCCCGTAGGTGCCCAGTTATGCACGTGGCTACACAAACTTCTGCTAAAGCCCTCGCTTTCAACTCTTCTTCATATAAGCCCAGCAGAATTTCTGGGTCATGGGGACATTTTTTTCTTTTAGGTTTTGCCATAGGGTATGTGGGCGAAAGTGAGACAGAAATCACCTTCTGGAGGAGGGTACAATACCTTCCCCGTTTTCCCCTAGGGTGTGCACACGCACACGCTTGGTGCGATTCTTAAACTGCCCAGTCTGGGACTTGAACCACGAAGATGGTCATGGGGTACCCAGTGCCTTGACCTCCGCATCAGCAGTAATTCTATTACCCAGAGCGTATTTTAAGTTACTTACTCTCCCTTGTGAGATTCCCCTCACTGTTGCTGTGTCAGCGAGAGTTCACAGCGGAGTCCTGGGCCTGCCACCTCCGACAGTCTGGCTACCTTGTTGAGTAGGAGAAGGCAAGAGCAGCGAAGGAAGCCTCTGCGGTTTGGCACCTTCCAAAGTGCTCCTCTCTGGCAGGTAAGGTGGCCTGCCATACACACCACCAAGCAGCCCTGCGAGCTGGGGCTGGTCTGAGGAAGTTCCAGGGACAAGGCGGGGAAAACCCTGGTACAAGGATGCGGACCAGCATGGGGCAGGGTTTAAGCAGGGCAGAGGACACATGCCTGGGCTCCCTCCTGGTGCTCTGTCCCAGACGTCACTCAAAGGCTCCTGAGGCCAAGGGCAACTGCAGGCACAGCCAAGGTGCCAGGTACAAGAGTCAGGCTGGCTCTGCCCTGACCGTGTCCCCAGACAGGTGCCCTGCCCCCGCTGACAGCCCGCTGGGCTTACCTCCCTTCTCCTAAGGGCTGTGAAGCAGCCCGGCTGGCCCTCCAGATAGCACGCTGTCAACTGATGTCACCTCACATGGAAAGATGGCACTTCCTGGGGACAGTTGGACAGCTGCAGGGACAAGGCCTGAGAGGCACAGCCATCTCACGGTAAGGCCTTCCCTCTGGGCTCAGGGCCGAGCAGGACTTCAGACAGACAAACCCAGAAGTGGTCTAGAGGCAGGAGACAGGCTTTGGGCTGTGAGGAAGGTCCTAGTGCACAGCCTGGATGCGGGCCACCTCCCAGCAGGACCAACTAGAGCCCAGCCTGTGAGGTGGTCTGAGCCTTTGGGGGCCTACCTGAGGGCCTGGAGCCACAGACCTCTCTGCTGAGCTGCATTCCCTGACATGCAGGCCAGGACCCCTGACCAGGGAACACAGGCCTGCATGGGAATGTGGTGGCTGGCTGGCCAGACCGGCCTGGAACCTCACTCCTCTGTCCCCCCGACTGCTCTGGTTGCTTGGTCTTCCACTCAGCAAACAGCTTGGGCCCTGCGGAGGCCGTGAGCAGGCCGAGCACTGCAGACCACTTCTGCAGCGTCCAGCCCGAGGCCCTCCAGGAGAGACTGAGGCGACCCATTAAGCTGACAGGAGCGCAGCCCCCAGGAGCCCCTCTGTCCCTGGGAAAGTCCAGGAAGACCAGGCACTGGGCTCGCTGAGGGCCCGCTGCAGCCCCAAGCCCAGTTCCAGACTGCAGGCCTGCAGCTGCTTGGGCCTCGTGCTGCCAATGGCTGTCCGGGACTCCAGGCTGCATGCGTTGCCCAGCCACCGGGACCTGCCACCACCTGTAGCTCCCTCCCATCTGGGCTAGGATGGGGCCCAGGGAGGACCTGGCTGGGGTGGACCCTCACGGCCCTGGAGCAGTGTCTCACGTGGAGAGTGTGAGCGTGTGTGTGCCCACAGACACGCAGGACGTCGGGTGGAGGACAGCCTGCTGCAGGCGTGGGGCTGCCCATGGCCCAGCCAGAGCCCAGACGGACTTGGTGTGTCCCTGGGAGTACCGGGCAGAAGCTGGCCTCAAGCTGGGCCCAGCAGCCATTAGCAACTGCCCCCCATCAGGGCAGCTCAGGGACAGCTCTGCTCACAGCACCTGAGACCAGTCTCGTGGGATAACCGCACTCTCAGGCCCACGGGGCAGCAGATGTGAGTGCAGCGGGCAGCAGGGGGCTGTCATGGGCCCGTCCTTGGCAAGCAGGACAGGATGCCTGGCTGTGGCGGGCTTGGAAGAGAGTGGTGACAGCCCCCAAGATGTGGGGAGCTGTGTGCCCTGCTTCTGCTGTGACCACCAGGGCTCATCTCACGAGCCCAGACGCAGACTCTGCCCCACACCAGCAGCAGGGGCTGCCCACGCCCTACTGGGGTCAGGCTGTGGGCTCTCTCAGGAACACGCACATCTCCGCAGCAGGCATGCCAGGGTGTGGCCAGATGCTGCCCGGCGGGGCCCGCAGCCTGGCTAGGTCTTACCTTTGGTGTCATTGACAGGGTCCATGTGCCGGTAGATGTAGCCCTCCAGGTAGGAGTGGAACTTGGGCGTGGGGGGGAAGAAGGCCAGGCAGATGGCCATGAGCTCCCAGCCGCGGGCCAGGCTGTCCAAGCGGAAGTTCTCGGTCGTCTGCCGGCACAGCTGGATGTACAGCTCATCCCGCAGGCCCTGCACGCTCCAGCCCTTGGTGGCGACCTCCAGGGCCACGTGCAGTGGGTCCGCCTTGGCCCGCCGGTCGCCCATGTACATCTGGATCAGCTTGAAGATCTCGCAGGCCTCCTTCTTCACGTGCCGGTCACTGGTCACGATCATGGGCTTCTTGATGGACTCGCTGCTCCAGGCCAGCATGTTGGCGAGGGACACCTTCCGCCGGAAGAGGCCCTGCGTGTGCTTGTTGAAGTGCTGGGAGGCCCAGTTCTCGATGTCCGTCTCCGAGGAGGGCTTGCGCAGCGTAAAGGTGGGGAAGACACAGCTGGCGCTCGGCATCACACTGCGGCCCAGCCGGCTGCTCTCCAACTGTGCACAGGTGCCGAGGTCCTCGGACTGTGAAGGACAGACGGGCTGGGCCACTGGAGGCAGAGGGGCTAGAAAGCCAGGCCCACCTGGACCACAGCCCCGAGAAACATGGGCCGGGGACCCTGCAGGACTCAGCCAGGTAGAAGCATGGCCTTCCCTGCTGGCTTCGAGGCTGCCCGAGGAGTCAGCCAGAGGGGTCCAGGAGCCAGTGGGGACAGCCAAGCTCAAGACCCACACTCCCGGTGCTGCCCAGCAAAACCTGGTGCCCAGGGACAGGCTGGGGCGGGCAGGAAGGAGGGCCGGCACGTTCTGCAGTGGACACGGGGTGAACTGGGCTCTGTGGTGCCTGGTCTCCCTGCTCCCAGAATCCCAGCACTGAACTGAGGCTGGCGGGCCCAGAAAGGCTGCACTAGCCTGGGCTCTGGAGCAGAACCCCAGTCTTCCCTTTCTGCATCACCCTCGGGAGAGCCTGTACCCGCCGGGCGGGGTTCTCTGTCTCTCTCCTCAGGTCACTTCTCCCCATGTTCCATTATGACCAGTGATGGGACAAGCTCCTGGGAGTGTGGGGGCGCTTCCACCTGGAGGGTTCCCAAGGCAGCATGGCCGGTGCTGGCTGCCCCTGAGGCAGACTTTCCCCACAGGAGGCCCTCAGGGGCCTGGTTCTGCCCGCTGCCCCTTCCCCTGGCCTCGGGCTGACCGAGACCAGCCTGGGCTTCCTGCATCTGCAGCAGGCCAGCTCAGAGGCTGGGGGTCAGGCAGTGGGACGAGGGCTCCATGCAGGGACCAGGAGGGAGCCCGTGGGTGTTGAGGGCTGGACAGAACTGTGGAGAGGACGCATACAGCCGGGCCTCTGCTCTGCTTCCAGGCATGGTCCGGGACCTAGGCCTGCACAGGCCCCGGCTGGCGCCCTGCCTGCCTGAGCGCAGGCTTACCTGGGAGGGGTGGAGGTAGGGCTCCGGCGAGGCCAGGTTGGTCTGTACCGAGACACTCTTCTCCAGCAGGATCTGCGGGAAGCCGAGCTTCTCGAAGGTGCCCCTCTTCCAGTGCTTGCCGTCCTGCTGGGCCAGGGCCTCATCCTCACTGAAGGCGCGCACCACCGGCCCGGGCATGGGAGGCGGCAGGGCACCGTCACTCTCGTAGCCGGAGCCGTCCTGCTGGGCGTCCCAGCTGCTCCTCTGCCGCATGTGGAAGTGGGCCTGCTGGGCCCCCCAGGCCA